ACTGGAGATGCGTAATCTCGTGTGTCTGGTTTGGTTGATGAGCTTATTCTAGCAAAATGAAAGTCTTCCCGGCAATTTATCTCAGGAGATTAATCGAAATCCAGTTGCTCTGCATATATGGAGTGTATATATGGCATGGGTTGATAAGACAATAAGCCTTACGTGCTCAATGCAGGCTAGCAGTTGCCACAATGTAATGAGGTTTGGCCCAGAGGATGCTTTTCAAGTGGCGTGAAAGAAGAAATCTCAGTACAGTTTTATCAGAACGGTAGAGGGCTGGCTCAATAGTCGTATCAACCTGATCGTATTGGTAGACTCAAACTACTGCAAACCAAAGGAAATCCGACGTTTTCTCTTGGCGAGATGTATCTATAAATCTCTTCATAAGGCATTCCAAGCCTTTTTTCGGTTTTTGATTAAACCAACCTACCAACTGGCCAAAAGTCGCAACGGCATGAGGATTCATTTACGTATGGGAGACTAAAAGTATCCACCCTTCAGTCCCTACACAAGAACAGAGAAAATTGGCTAGCCTGCTTCCTTAGACTTCAGTTAAGCTGAGAAGAAGTGATGATGCATAAAATAAACGGACTTTTACTCACCGCCAATGAAAAGTTGGCAATTCAGCTCAGGTATTTTACAAGCCAGGTGTCGAATAACGTTTAGTGATTGGAAGGCAATTTCTCGAGTAGGTGAGATAACCATGGCCTGGATGTGTGGCTCTCGAGGGTTCACACTTTCCAGCAGGATAATTGAGAAAACAAGAGTTTTTCCTGTACCAGATTTCGCCTGAAGAGCAACAAAGAGAACGGAGCGATAATTAAGAGAGAAAATTGTGTATGTTATGAAATAGCTAGTGGCTGATTGAGTCAACAAACTTTTGGCTAAAATCCCGATAAAGAATAAACACATCGAAGAGAATGATTTGCTAAGCAGAGCCAAGATTTATGGATGCAGTAGGTCTTGGGACAGATGGGAAAAGCAAATAACGTATAAAGTTAAAAAAACAATTAAGGAGCAGATCCAATAGCTGCGAAACACAATCTTAGTAGCTAATTTAAGGGAAACCCCTGACCAAACCTCTTCAACAAGTTCAAATAAGCATGAAATGGTGGATAGTGTGGGCAAATAAGCGGTCAGCTAGTTAAGTTGAGATATTAACCGATTTTTTGACGAAACAGAATCAGCCGAATAGTTCATGATGAATTCCATTACATTTTCAACATCAAGAAACTATCAATTAGTTAATCCTCTGTTTAAGAATCACATAATCAATATAAATTACGGGCATGGTGTAAGGCCCGAGTGAGACAGTTGGAACGACAAGAGTGTTTATCAGAAAAAAGTATAATTATGCGGAAACCAATGACGATACCACGTTTAATTATATATTGTATCTCAAGAAATCGGAAATCGAAAGCGTTTGAGCGCAACCCTAATGTATCAAAATATGCTTCCTCTCTTCCCACTAAAATAAATATTAGGGGACAGAAAAATGCAAGCCTGATGCGATCCCTCTGTCAAACGAGATCGTTGAAACCGTTAATTTCCTATCCTTTGCCGGCTATCTAGAAATTATCAAACTTTATGAGGATAGTCGGATATGCTCTCTTTCAGGTAGTCTTTAAAAAATAAAACCATAAAATTCCTTCAATAATATTTTTATAAAAAATTCAGTTTTGGGCTAAACCGACGGCGTAAAATCAAATGCAATACATGCTGATTGATGCTTTGACAAAGCTCAAATATATCCAGAATTTAGCAACATAATTTGCTTCTTTTTTTGGCATTATAAACTGGCGGGGTCCCTATTGAAGAACGTGAGTGGCATCAAGAAGCCAGGTATAAAGATTCGATATAATATAAGTGGCAGAAAAATGTAGAGAACTAATCACTCGATTCCCTAATTATCATTTAAAATGATGGGGCAATAAAATATTCTCCAAAATGGTAAACATTTTATTTTTTGACTTTATTAATTCGAAAAAATGACCCTTTCGCGGCTGCACACAAGTGTTTGAATAGAAACTGACTATTTTGAAGCGACTTGGAGTATCGAGGCAAAGATGGGGCGATAGTAAAATTCTCCTATAAAAATGGTACCGCTTATATAAACTAAAAGCATAAACAATGAGATTAGGTAGAAGTAAAAAAGACAAGGAAAAAATCGTAGCACTAACAGAAGAGTCAAAATAAATAGGGGGATTATTCAAAAGATCGTCACCTGAACAATAAGATCTGAGCCGAGTTTTCCTATAGGAATGGCTTTCACTTGCACAGGAGAGGCGCGGTGAAAGCCCCCCAGATGCAGACCTTCTAGAAGGTTTGTTGAAAGATGAAGATCATCGAAGCTGACTGACAGCTCATTCACCGCCTGGAAACCGGCAGATGAATATCCGAATGTAACACCTACAAGTTCAAAAAGTAAATCAAATCAAGAGGAGTTTCTAATAGAAGGGCCAAAAATTTTCTTCTCATAAAAAGTATAAGGTAAATGGTAAATATATATACGAGCATTCTCAAATATCCACCAATGAAGCGGCCTGAAATGTTAGGATGCGTTATAGCTTGATGGTAAAAGATTTGTGATGTTGCCTCAAGGTAGAAGACTAGAAGTTCAGGGCATTCTGAGAATGGAATAATTAAGTATGTGGCAGACACTAAATAATTTTAATTTTTAAATAAGGTGATTCTTGAAACTATTGAGAAAACTTGGAATTTGCACTCATTCTGTTCATAAGAGAGTTGCCTTTTGTAAATTTACCTACTTACAGATTGTAAGTAAGATTTACCTACTAAGCTTATGTATTAAGTGTCATCGCTGATTCCCTCCTCGAATATTCTTAAGGATAAAGTCTCACTTGACTCTGCGTACAGTAGACAAACACACAGTGCACTTTGCATGAGAGAATTGCTTATTGAATCCGTATCATAGGAAGAATAAATCTGATACTGATCTTATAGGCTCAAGTCTACTGAATTCTGTTCCCTCG